GGGGACAGGAGCGGGTGGGTGTACCACACAGCGAAAGCACACTGGGTCCTCCCTCTTGAGGATGTTTATCTGGAGGTCTCTGGGAAGGACCCCAATAAAATATTCATCAGCTCTCCAGGTGGGCCTTTTCGTGGGCCTTGGTCTCTACTGATGGGTCAGTGTCAGGGCAGCGGGTCCTCAGTCAATGCAGCTGGTCCTCAGGTAGGCCAAGGCATTGCTTATCTGGTTTTGCTGCTTTTCTGGGCCTAGAGCCGAAATGCAACTGAGGCCCAAGTGTTATCACTAGGGCTTAATGCTTAAGGGAGAGGCTGTGCATAGGCTTGTATGAGGCTGTTCTCTGGACCCCTTGTTCTTATACCAAGGGGATTTACCCTGCATGCCTAGCAACATGCCAGGGGAAGAAAAGTCAAGGGAGGATCTGAACCACACAACCAGTAATATTAAAGTTCAGGGGGTTAAACCACATGACCAGTGAAATGCTAGGCGAGAAAAAGTTACTCTGGGATCAAGGTCCTTGTTTTCCCAGTTATGCTTGTTGCTAGGCACCCAGGCCTTAGAGCCCTGGTGACCTTCTATGCCTGGCCCGTTGTCCTTGTTCTGCTATGTCTGTCTAACTGCCTAACACAATATTACCATGGAAAACTAAAATTTGAAGTATAGAGCAGGAACTATTACCCCTCAGTATGATAAACTGGGATTGACCAAAGTAATACACGTTGCTCCCTAGCACCTTACTATTTTATATAACACCATATTGCAGCTTCTGTAACTTCAGCTTCTACCTGTCTCTCTGCTCCTGCTTGTCCATCACCACCTTCCTCTCTCTCTAAGGCCCTGTCTGGAGCAGGGAAGATTCTCTATGAAGTAGAGGAACAATTTTATGTACTGTGTACTGATGGGCCAAGCAGCTGCCCCAGGAGGAAGAATACATTCAAACTGCAAATCTGGATCAGATGTAACATCAGGTCTGGGCCAAGACCATTAAGAGGGCTCCAGTTGCTGTCATACTAAGAGACACCCGTCCCTCCCTCTCAACTCCTCAGGCCCCCAGGACTCACCACCATCTGAAGCACCTGTCTAGGAGCAAGCATGTAGCCTGGATGGGATCTCTAGCACCCTGTACCCTGCTATTGATACACCTCTGACACTGTGGTCATTGGGTCCTCCCAGGACAGCTGGCATTGAGTCTACGAGAAAAATAGGAGTCTTTCTACCACCAGGTTTTCTAGCCTTGTCTGATAATAAGAATCATCCAGGACTATTGATATAATCACAGATTCCCAGGCCCTTTCCCTAGGTATATGTATTCAGTAGGTCTATTTGGGTTCTGAGGGCCTAGAACAAGGTACCTATGATGTGCTTTAGTAATAGGTAGAGTACTTGAACTAAAGGCAATTTTAACTACAAGCTCAGGGGAAATTTATGCCCCTCCCCTTAAACTACCTAGACAAATTTGACCTAAGACCTTTCCCATAAGAGATTATCAGAAAAAAACTTCTTTTCCCTATCTCTAGGGCAGAGAAAACTACTAATTACAGAACTTCTGCTCTTCAGCAATGCACTTCGGAGCCTCCAAGGCATGTTACCTCATCCCTAGCTCAGGGTGTCTTAAGTACCTCAGTCCTCCTTTCTGTCTCTGAGCCTCTCCTCTGTGCACAGGGTCCCTGACTCTCTCACACATCTGCGGTTCCCATGTGCAGGATAAGAAGTTTGATTTTCTCTTGTCCATCTACCTCCTGTTAATTTGATTATTCAGGCAGCCAAAAGAACCACAGGAAGGGAAGGGAACTTTTTCCCCCTTCCCCACAGGATTCGGGAATCTGAATTTTTAAAACTGTCCAGGTAATGCTTTTCACCAAGGAATTTTGGGAAATACTGAGTTCAAGCACTCTTCAAAATGTTCTAGAGTCTCCCAGTGAGGGGAGTTGCCCTGCATGTACTGAAGCCTTGCCTTCTACTGGGATAATAAAGATGAGTATGTTTTGGATAATAAAGGTGAGTGTGCTTTGTACACGAGGATGTCTTTGTAAATCCAGGGCATCTTGTTATTATTGTGATCATATACCTTTAGCCTCAGCCACCAGGATGTTATGCACAGCTGGGGGGAGCTTCTCAATACCCAGGTCTAAGAGACCAACTATGTCCCTGAGGTCCTAGAAGATGGAAGGGATGTGGAGTGGTCAAACCAGAGGCCAGAGAGAGAAGGCAGAGTAAAGGCTGGAGTCTGGAAATTACTACATAGGAAGTTCAACCTACAAGTACCTTGGCTGTTGATATAAATCATAGGAAAAAGGAGGGAAATTGAGGGGGGTGGGATGTAAACAGCATGCATTTTCAGATATTAAAGACTAAATACATTAGCTAAATTATTCATCTATTGAACCCCCAATTTTATTTTTTAGTGTTACTATGTGAGTGAATGTGAGCTGGGCTCTGAGACACATCTAGGTGCTGAGATAAGCACTGACGATGGGCTACCGTACAAAGGGGGGCCCGTGAGTTTGAATCATCTACCTGAGGTTGCCACAGCTAAGGAAAAGTTTCTGTCCGGGTGGTTTTGCTGTTGACTTAACATAAATTAGAGATGGATGTAGTTAGAGTGTGGTTTTCCTTTATGGACACAAAGACCAGACCCTTCCATACAATATTGATGAAGAATATTTGCAGTGATACCAGAAATGAAAGAAATGCATATTCCCACAGAGTGCTGAAAGATAACTTAGAAATAACAGCCACTCTCTTTTTGAAAGTTGAATATGAAGGGTTTTTTTTAAGATTTTATTTATTTATCTTTAGAGGAGAAGGGAAGGAGAGAAGGAGAGAAACATCAATGTATGGTTGCCTTTCGTGCATCCCCTGCTGGGAACTGGCCTGCAACCCAGGCATGTGCCCTGACTGGGAATCGAACCGTAATTGTCTGGTTCACAGGCCCGGGCTCAATCCACTGAGCTACACCAGCCAGGGCAAATATGAAGTTTTGAGTTAAATAGTAGCCTTCAGGATCACAGAGCATTAAGAAAAGGAAAATTATAACTTGCCCTGGCCAGTGTGGTTCAGTGGATTGAGCACCGGACTGTAAACCAAAGAAAAGGAAAACTAAGCTCTAAGTTTCCTGAAAAAGATTAATTCAGTCTTCTGTGATTAAGTTCCTGCGTAGTGATGGAGAAATGGCCTGGCTTTTTACGATCCCATCTAAAACCATGATTATACAACTAGACATCAGCAACTCCACTCAGCAAAGGCACATCTATACAAACAAATAGCATGAATGAGAACAGCAGTTAAGTCTCCTAGATGCAATGGTTGGGAAGGTAGGGGAGGAACAAATTTTTCCCTACCCCCAAGGCTCTTCTGGCTGGTCTAATAATCAAATAGATATGAGGCAGATTGGCAAGAGAAAATAAGCAAATTTAATACATATATATGTATGGAAACTCTGCATATACCAGTCAAGAGACTGCACATGCAGAAGAGGTTCTGAGATCTAAAGAGAACATGAGTATATGAGATATTCTGAGATGGGGGTGAGATAAGTTGACTTGGGGGGGCTCCAAATTTCATTACAGGACAATAAGAAGAGGAGTTTAGTAAATAGAAGTTTGCCTTGCCCTGTAGACAAGTAGAAAGAAATTACGTCTGATAATCTCTAATGGGCAAGGCCTCTAACTCAAATTTCTTCTAGGCTGAAGTTTCTCCTGAGTCTGAGGCTAAAGTTGCCTTTAGCTCCAAGTAATTGCATAGCACAGTGGGGCATCTTGGGGTAACTCTTTTTGGATCCCCACAGGAAGAATCCTTCAAGTTTCTGAATAAATTTTTATTTCTTTATTTTTTAAAAGATGTTATTTGCTTATTTTTAGAGCAAGGGGAAGGGAGAAAGAAAGGGAGAGAAAGATCAATGTGTGGTTGCCTCTCATGTACCCCCCCCCCCCAACTGGAGACCCAGCTTGCAACCCAGGCATTCTCCAGCCTGACTGGTAATTGAACTGGCGACCCTTTTGTTTGCAGGCCAGCACTCAATCCACTGAGCCACACCAGCCAGGGCTGAATAAGTTTTTTTGAAACAAAGGAATTCAAAGTTAACTCAGGAATGTATTTTAGCCTCTTTAGAAGCTGTGGCTTCTTCCACTGTGACAAACATTCCCAAGCACTTGAGTCACAGCCAGAAGACGGCTTTGGAATAATTTGGAAGCATATTAGATGCCAAAATATGGTAAATACCAAATATGCCTCAAATTACCCTCCTTTGTCACATAAACTATGTGAAAGACACTTACTAATTCTCATTTTCAATTATATTTCCTTAGGTCTCATTACTTTTTCCTCACGTATGTATAACAAAAAAAAAGTTTTTCCATACCCATCCTGCTGATAAAATTTCAATCACTGAAACTTTCCCTTTAAAACTAACAAGGTTTTTATCTCCCAGATAACGATTTTGCAGGCCACTCACAATTACCGGTGGAGCTGAAACTGGAGCAGCACAGATAAATGAGATCCCTGTAGATAAGCCACAGAATTCAGGGCAGTCTGGAGAAGCAGCCTCTCCCCTCACTTAACCTTGTACCGGAGCTACCTTGGGTAATTTGATTCCTGATGCACCTTTCTCTGTCAGAATGGAAAGTAGACTTTAGGGAGATGTTAGACGGGTAGAGGAGGAGAAAACACCTTGTGAAGGAAGGAAAACTGTGTGAGGACATAGAAGACCTACCCCAACTAATTTGCCGCCTCAGGTCAGTTACTGCACTACTCAAAAACCTTGTTCCTATATGGCAAAGGGAAGAGGTTAGACTGAACCTGTGGGACAGAGATGGTGATGTGGGAGAACTCTCCAAAGTCCCTGCTTGGGAGCAAGTGAGAATGTAACTGGTTCTCTCCAAATTGTCTACTTTCATCTGTTTACACAGTGGGATTTCATATATGATTTCATTTTCTGAAAGGTATCTCATGCTATAGAAAGTCTGCAAACCCCTGGACTAAATAAAACAACTGTTTACTTTCAGCTCTCACACCCTCTGAATCCATGACAAGAGGGATTAATTCCTGCATAAGCAACTGGATATTGATGGAATCTGCAAAATAAAGACAGGCCTGGAGAGTGTGTAAGAGGAAACGAAGAGAAGCCCAGATGGTGTGCCTCTTCCAGGTTTGGAAAAAGAGTTGTATCTCTCTTCTCTTCTCACAGCAGACGTCCCACTACCCAGTGGATTTCAGCTCTGGCCTTCCAGCAGAATCACCAGGGGTTCGTGCTCCAGTTCTGGGATTTTGACTCAACAGTCATGGGGATGGAGCTTCCTCGGCTGTGTCAGTGTTGGGGTATGTGTTTGTGTGTTTTACAATCCATAGGTAATATTGATGTTAACTAGGATTGAGAATCTCTGCTCCATTTGATCAAAAGACGTTAGTGACCTCTCATAGTGTCAGTTACCATTTTTAGACAGATGGCTACAAATCGAACTCTCTGGAAACAGCCGGCTTCCATCTGGTCGTCTCAGCAGCCAGCCTTGCCTTTAATACCATTCTGTCAGTGCACAGCCCTTCTTCCAGTGTCTCAGGCTCCCAGTGACCTGAAGGCATCTTTGACTCTGTCCCTGTGTTGCCAGCATCCTACCTGCACAAACTTCACAAATCTACCCCTGTATCTGATCCCAAATCGGGCCCCAGCTTTCCATTCCTACTGCCACTCTTCAAATCAGGCTCCCTTTATGAATTGTCTATATTATTTATAGACACTTACAGAGGTCTTGCTCTCCCATCTTTATCTCCTTTGATTCATACTAATCTGACTTTGTTAGCTCCTTGTTTAAAATAACTACGGTGGCTCCCACTGCCTAGTCTTTCAAAATAAACCCCTTCGTCTATCTTTTAGATTCCACAATCTAAGCTTCCAGCCTCATCTTTGATTACGCAGCAGCTTGAACACAATCCACCATCAAAGAATATTTGCTCTTTCTGTTAAAAATACATCCTAGGCTTTCCTGATTATGTGCCCTCACCCTTGCTACTCCCTCAGCCTAGAACTCCCTCTTTCTCATTCTATGCTACTTCCGCCCTAAAGGCTCTCCAGAGCTTTGCAAGTGAATCTGTAATTGTGCAAGAACCTTATTTTCTTTAATTTGCTCTTTTATTTTGATTTCTCTCCTTTGACTCAAACTGACCTCACCTAGCATCCTCGCTCACCCCCCTCCTTCTCCCTGGCTCAATTATGAAGCCCTCAAGACAAGGAGATTCTGGTCAGCATCCAGTAGTCTTAGAAAAAGAGCCTCAGGTCTATTGACCACAGAAGAAAGCATTTTAGTGGAACTAGAGATCCTATGTAGGCCTCAGACGTGTTTCAATTGCAGACCTACCCCACTGACCCTATTCTTGTGAAACCAGATAAAGCGATGCGATGGCTGACATCAGGACCAGAAGCAAAGATCACCTAACCCCTGCCCCAGTGCCAGCCAGTCAACAGAAACCAAAGCACCGACAGTGACTCTAATGCCCTTAGTCACTATGTTTAATGATTTTCTCCCTATACAGTACATCCCCTGGAAGCCATCGGGGAGCCAGGTCCTTCAGCATTAGCTCACCTATGACTCTGGGCATGGCACCATCTTCTTAATCCTTATATTCTTGGCTGCAAACGCAGGTTCATGCCCTGCTGGGCCTTGATGCTCACAGGCAAACCGACCACTCAGTCAGGTAACAAATCTGAAGCACAGTGAAAAACATTGTGCTGGACCCTCTTTCCTGGCAGTCACTATATCCTGTCTTGTAGCATGGTTATCTATAGCTGTGTCTTATCCCCTTTACTGAGCTGTCGCTTCTTCAGAGCACTGCCCAGTGAGCCTTGTAGCTGTCTGGAAAGAGAGTGAATTTGGGCCTGAGAGCCCTATATTTAAGTTACAGCTCTGCTACCTAACCTCTGTTTGAACTGTCAAATTATTTAACCATTTCCTGCTTTAGATTCCTCTCCTGTAAAATTAGAATATTAATATCCAGTTCCTAGGATTAGCATGAAGTCTGAATGACATAATAGACACAGAAGGTGTTCGACACACACAAAAAGGCTCTCAACCAGCGGTAGTTCCCACTAGTAAATGTTGAATGGTGACGTGGTGGACTGTTATCTGTAATAAAAGGTGATGTTCCACTAACCCAGCCTTATGGAAAAACCTTTCTCTACAGATATTCACTATCTTGTCTTTGTTACTCATTAAGAAGATGATGGAGCTATTTTTGTTTTTGAGATAAGACTCTGGAGCAGACGTAATGCCTTCTTCTCTCTTATCTATTGGCCAGTATAATAAGGGTTGGTAGTAACAGTGAAATAGAAGATAAATGGTAAAGGGAAAAAGAAAACAGTAAGAAAAATCTGAATTAAAATATCTAGAAATACATTTTAAGAAACAAAAAATAACCACAACTTTGCAAAACACATGTTACCAAGTTACATCATGTATACAAAAGAATAAGCCACCATAGTCAGGAAGGTAGAAAACATTAAATTATAAAGAGCTAGTACTCTTGAACATCAAATACAATATATATGTGTGTGTGTGTGTGTGTGTGTGTGTGTGTGTGTGTGTGTAATTGCTTCTACAAATGCTTAAAATACATTTGGTAAGATTCAACAGCAATCCCTAATAACATTATTTTAAAAGTAGAAATAAAAAAATATTTCCTTAATATAAGAAAAAGTATAAGATTGAAACCAACAGCCAGCATTATGTTTATTAGTAATATTACTGAAATACCAATTAAAATATCTACAAAAGAAGGAACATTATTTAATATTGTCCTGAAAGTTATTTTCAAAGCAACAAGACATGATACAATATTAAAGTTATATTATTATTAGTGAAGAGGTAAGATGATATTTATTTTTGGTTGAAATCATTATACAACTGTAATTCCAAAGAAATAATTTAAAATTTGATTAAATGCAAAGGGAAAAATATATAATAAACAGCCAGAAATAAAAAATATTCCAATATAATTGAAATAATCAGCTAGAAACTTTTATATGTATATTTATATATGGTTCGGTAAAAAGATGTTAAATGGTTATGAGAACAAAATCAACAGAGAGCCCATACACAGTAACACCAAAAAATAAAAAACATCTTAGAAGTGGCCTTAGTGCACAGTGTCTTTCATCTAGTCATGGAAAAGAGCAAAATTTTATTAAGATATACTTATTAAAGCTTAAGAAAGTAGAGAAATATACTGTGTTTCTGAGTATGAAGACATTGTTAGAAATATTTAAATATTTTCAAAATAATAAGGTTTAATTAAGACATTTGATAAGTATTTATTGAGTATATATTATATGCCTAGCAAAATCCTAGGTACTGGGGATAATCATATGAGCAGTGAATAACATGAAGACTTTGCTCACATGGTGTTTAGATTCTCATGGAGCTGACGTACCAAATAAAGTCTTACTAAAATACTATGTCAGGCAATGATGTGTACATTGAACACAAATATGACAGAGTTAAGAGATAATGAAAGGAGGGAGGTGCTGTTTAGAACACAGTGATCAGGAAAGGCCCCTGAGGAAGTAGCAGCTGAAAGGTATTTGAATAAACTGTAGGACAGAGCTGTGCATCTGTCTGGGAGAAGGGTGTTAACTTGCAGAGGGAATAGCAAGCGAGAAGACCCAGATGTGGAACTATGCTTGATGTCTTTCTGGAACAATAAATGATCCAATCTTGCTAAAGCACAGCAAGTGAAGTGGAGACTAGTAGGCGATGAGGACAGAAATAATGTGGGACAGATCATATAGGGTCTTATAAACCTGTAAGGACTTGTGGTTTTGTCCTAAGTCAATGGGAGCCAATTGAATATTGTGATCAGCTGATGGTGTGATCTAATCAATTTTTTAAAAGAATTGTATGGTCTCAGTGCTGAGACTGGGGTAGAAGTGAGGGGGATGTAGTGAGAGCCATTAGGAGGCTATGTCAGTCATTCAAATTGGGGCAAATGTGCTTGTGCTAGGGTAGAAAGGGGCAAGTCAGGAGGATGTCCCAGATATACTTTGGAGGAAGACATAAAATATTTGCCGATGGGTCAGGTAAGAGAGGTGAAAGGAATAGAGGAATCAAGATTGGATCCTAGGTTTTTGTCTTAAGCAACTATTTGGGTCATAGTGTTAATTACCAGGATGGGGAACACTGGGAAAGGAACAGAAGTTTTGGAATTAAAACCAAGAGCTGTGTTTTTGAACATATGAAGTTTGAGATCCCAAGAAGAGATGCTGAGCAGGCAGTTGCTATGAATCTGAAGGCCAACAGCAGATAGATGGAATCTAAAGCCAATGGACTAGATGAGGTCATCTACGGAGAGAATGTGCACAGAGAGATGCCCAGGGGTCATGTACATCTCAAATTTGGGACAAGGAAGAAGACCCAGCAGAGAAGACTGAAAGGTGGCACCTAGTAAAATAGGACAGAACCTGGGAGAATCTGGAGTCTCAGAAGCAAAATAAGTGGTTGGATATAGCCCCCATCAAATATCAATGATTTATTTTTATTAACTGACAAAACCATTCTAAAACATATCAGAAAAGCATAATACACACCTAGGATAATGGACCATCATGCCACATGCTTCCACTGTAACAACTGATAGGGGCATGCTATTGTTATAACCTTGCAAAGTGACAATGAAACCGTTAAGCTTATATAAGCGTTGTCTCCCACTATATAAGCCCTCCATTTTTATATTGGCATATTTGTTTCAGTCACCTTGATGGTATTTCTATAGCAAGTTAATCAAATGTAGCACATGCTGGAGAAAAATTTGTCTAAAAAAATTTGACTTTTGATACACATAAACTGACCTATTTTATATAAGAATCTATTATGCCATAAAGAAGCATATTAAATCACTGGGCAGGGATGAATTATTCAATAAGTGGTACTGGGAAAAATGTCTAGAAATATGAATACTAAATTAATTTCTCACTCCATCCCACATACCTAAGTAAATTCCAGATTGATTAAAAAGTTAAATACTTAAAATTCTAATAGAAATGTTTGAAGAAAGTGCAGATATCTATTTATAAAACTTGTAAAAGAGGGAAGATTTCCTAAGCTTAGAAATAACCAAAGAAATTGTAAAGTAAAAGACCAGCATATCTGAATCTATGAAAATGGAAAATTCTATGCACAAAAGACTATGAGGTAAATATTAAAATGGGAAAATGTCTTTAATAAAATTTCAGAGTTAATATATTTCCTCCATAAAGAGCTCACACAAGCAAACTGATAAGAAAAGCAGCAGTAGGGCCTGACTGATAACTAGTTAATAGAATACTCATAAAA